TGAGTGGATACTGCCCATTTCCACAGGACTTTTGCTTTCATATATATGGGCTTTTTTTCCTGACTTCTGAAGAAGGTGCACTATCTCAAACTGCAGCTGATCTTACACTTGCAATGCTACAGATGTGCAAGCGACTTGTTTCCATCTATCTTGGTAGCTCAATGTCAAGTAATTGCATTCAAACTCCTACTTGCAAATCAGAAACAAGCCTAGGATCTCTCCCTTTGGATCTTCTCCATATGGAATATGGTTCACATCTGTGTTCGATCAAACCAGTTGCTAAATGTCACAATGCCCTCATTCACAGGTAGCTTAAAGAACATTTAGCTGGTAATAAAACAATCTGGACTCTAGAGAAGGATAGCTCTTCAGATGTATGGTGCTGTAAATGTTCCTGTAAAGTATGTATATCACAAACACACTTGCATGAAAAGACACCACATAAAAGGCATCCATATGCTATACATATTCAGTGCCACAGCTTTTCCTTGATAAGTAGATGTGGCCCTTCTCTATGTGAGTGTCCAAGGGCAACATGCATAGAGGAACTCTTTGTGAGCTGATTGATGGTATATTCCTGTTCTCATACAGATGGATTTCATTTGCTATTTTCCCCCCATTCCCTTTTTAATTCAAGTATTTTAAAATCTGTGTCATGGTCAATGATAATTTCATTGGTGTGTGATCTGAACTGTGCTCCTGCAAAAACTTTCATGCCAGCTTCTCCTTCCTCTCTGCTTCTCCCTTTCCGACCTTCAGTCACTGCAGTACCAAGCTGCATTTCTTCCCCTCCTTACTAGGTAAGAGCAAGTAAAGAAAATATGCAAATATTCATGGTTATTTTCAGTATATTCAGAACTAAGCTCTGGCATTGCTACAAAAAAGTTTTCTTTCAGGTTATGAACACACAGTGCGACGTAGGAATATTTGTGTCTTAGGGAGTTGTGATTACAGAGCCAGGATGGGCCTGTGGTACAGTTCAGATCAATACCACAGCAAGCTTTGAAAATCAGGTTTGTGTCTTTGCATTTCACAAGTCAGTAGGGCCCTGAAATCAAGGAGCTGTTCTCCAGGTCTCCTGTGCTGCTCAAAAGAGAATAAGCACTTCCAATATTTGATGAAATACTCAACAATCAGAGGAGGAGATAGCCAGGTTCAACACAGGTGGACAGCAAGGCATTTACCACAGCTCTCCGGGTAGCCAGCACAAATGATGAGTTCATGAACACTCAAAATATGGAACACTGGACTGAGATGAGAGTGTTCAGAGGGTGGCTACCATGGGTACTTCTGAATATACCTGAAATAGAACACCGAAGTGTTTCCTTTAACTTGTAGACGAACTGCACAGTGATTCCAGAGGGAGTTCTCTCAAAGGATTATTTGATCACTTCGTACTAATAAAATAAATGCCTACAGGGTTCAGCTGAATTGCATGGTATTTTACAAGCTTGCATATAATGGCTTGTGTATTTTTAAATCACC